ACCCATAACTTCTGCAGTGCTCTTCCAACTGATCTACATGTATGAAGCCAACATTTCAACATTTGTTACTATCTATGTATGGGTTCACCCAATATAATGACCACTCCATATTTTACGACATTTTACCTGCAAAATACCAACGTGGACCTATCACAGATTGCCATAAAACGCCTTCCAAACAAAAGTGAACTTTTCTTATTTAGCATTTTCAGCAAAAAAATGTAATTATTGGGTTATAATTTCAATATATTCCGCAAAAATGATGTAAAATTGACAGCCCTAACACTTGCGCAGAAAAAATTCTAAAATATTGCTGCGTTTCCAAGTATTTGCAACAAAAATGTGACTAATACTAATGGCAAATGATAGCATAAAATGTAACTCATTTTAACACTTTCTCTTGGACACATTGAAATATAGACAAGTAAGTTTGAAAATCATTCATTTATTACAGATCTAATATATGTTTGACATCTTWATCACCATTCTGTGCTATATACCCATAAAAAGTATATATATCCACTCAATGTTTGTTGCATGCCCTATATTGCCATTGGAAATATTTGATGTCAGCTGCAATCCAATTTAGTGTGATTCCAATTAACCATTTCTGATGGAATTGATGAAGATAACATAACATATATATAAAAGTCATAGACTTTTATATATAGCAGTCGCAGAATCTTGCGTCTCAAGATGCAAGTAGGCACAGAATTCCTGTGTCTCAAGATATAGGCAGTCGCAGAATTCCTGCACCTAAAAATGCAAGCAGTCGCAGAATTCCTGCACCTAAAGATGCAAGTAGGCGCAGAATTCCTGCACCTAAAGATGCAAGTAGGCGCAGAATTCCTGCACCTAAAGATGCAAGTATAGGCGCAGAATTCCTGCGTCTCAAGATGCAAGCAGTCGCAGCATTCCTGCGCCTAAAAATGTAAGCAGTCGCAGAATTCCTGCGCCTAAAGATACAAGTAAGAACAAGAACATTAACATTAATAACTTTTAAAGGTTATAATCTAACTTTTCAATAGTTGAAAAAATAAATTCTAATTGTCATTTGAATCCTCAGACTTCAACAATTTTGCAATGTCTTCTAAACTTATGTCTTGGGAGGTCATGAAAATGGAATTTCGGCCACTATTTAAGGCTGATACAAAGGTGTAAGCATTACAGCTGTCTAGGTCAATTACAGTGTCCCCTTCCTTTGAGAGGTGGGATATCAACCAGCCATATGCCTCCAATGATAATTCCCTCTCTCCATGAATTTCAATAACATTCCCAGAAACACAAGAAATGTGCTGGTCAGTTAGCTGTCGTGACACTGACCAATGCCCAATGATGAATGTTACTAGATTGTCTTGTAAAATAGATCCTGTAACAACAAAAGTACGATGTGCTTAMTMAAACAAAAATTGAATCAGGAACTCATATACACTTAAGAATTATTACATTAATGTTGTCTGGTTCAAAAAKGGTAATAACACTGATGCTAAATATAAAAGAAATAAGAACAAACAATACAGGTTACTTGACTACTAGCACTACTGAAAGAAATCAATATAATTTCTCACCTTTACAAGAAGTACTCCCTCTCTTACTCTTCATAAAAAAATGACCAGTCTGTGTCTTAAATGACCCTTCCTCTTCCAGTATAGACTCTATACTATTGATGTCTTTGATATTTGAAAACAGCACAACATTAAATGAAGTCTGCTTGGTAAAATTGAGCCTAGAAACAGCTTTCACAATATCTCTAGCACTCTAAATGATAAAAGAAATTAAAACTTAATATTCTGTTTTGACATTTTACTTCTTCAACATACCTGAATACAATATATTTTAAAATAATAATAATTTTAATAATATTTTTTTACAAAAAACTATCTATCTATCTATCTATCTATCTATGTATTAAAATGACCAATTTATTACCTCTTTATCAGTGCTGACATTTCCTATAACTAGGAAAGCACCTTCATAATTGGGCAGTTTGGAAGCAGCCTCCTGCTGTACATCATCAAAGCTTGTAATTGGGATAATTATCCCTTGTGTTTTGAGCTGACCTTCAAACAATTCATATTGTGGCTGAACAGAGCTTGCAGCTGAGCTTGAGGCTATCTTTTTAAGGTTTGTTAAAAACTTTTGAAAAGGATGGGATGTTTCAAATGCTTTCCCCTATAAATGAGTAACAATTGTGATAATAATTGTTAGAATCTAATTGTTTAAGTACCTCAATTATGGGCTGATTAACTGACAAAGGGAAGTAAAAATCTTTGGTTTAAGATTACTGTACTACATGAGAGAATACAAATATATAATACTTACAGCATAGCGCAACAATTTTTCTACTGTAACAGCATTTCCAAACTTTGTTGTAGCTTCCTCCCATGTTTTAAGCTTAAAAAAATCAASAATTGCCAATTGCACTGGCTTAACTATCTTKATCTCTTTTCCTGCTTGTTTCATTTCATCTAAGCTCATTTCAAGATTGGCAACCTGTAGGAGTAAAACCAAGCTTTACATTACTGAATAAAAATATAATTAAAACAGTCATAAGGGCATTGCTAGCTGGGCCCACACAGCATGATTCCTTCCAACCAAAGGTATCACCATGCAATCTTGCTGCAATACATGTACATTTGTGGCACTATGATTCATGATATGCATACCTTCTCTAAAAGAATTGCTCTGTCGTCATCATCAAGACTGCATAATTCTTTGAACTGCCATTGCTTCAGAAATGTTCGCCCCTTTAGTACATCTGATGACTTGACTTTTTGATCCTTAAGGTCCCCTTTTTCATATTGATTGCTGACAGCCAAAAAATGTCCCCAACTTACTTGACTAATCTGGGCCATTGTGAAAATTTCACTGAGGTTTCTCTTCTACAAATGAAATGGAAACAAAAAATGTTAATCATTTTCCATACATATGAAACAGCATTTATAWGTTTAAGGTAGGGAACAAAATCAGTCAATCTCCAATCAATTGGCTGGCACATATTGTAAATAAAATACTAATGTAGGATAGTAAAATGGTCATGTGTTGGCAGATATGCAAAAGCTTGAAAAAGTCATCAAGTCATCATCCTTTTCAAGACAAAAGAACTTACAGGTTTATTCAAAAGACTGGAGCACATGTCTCTCCAACCATCACTRGGTTTTGGTGGTTCTTCCAAGTTTTCCGGGGCTGCCAGAAAAAGTTGAGTTCTGCAGATTTCAACCTAACATAAATTATAATTTATGAAATGAAAATTAGATTTCCCTTGACAAAAAATAAATACATAATAATACTAAACAGAATAATAATWACAATTTATAATTCATTAATATCTATTCTGTACTGTCAATTCTAAATAGTTGTAATAAGTAATAATAATAATMATCATCATCATTTAGGTCAGTAGGGAGGAGAGATGTAAATTATCTTCTTTTTTTATTTTAAATCCCATAAAAAGATTCCATACTTTTCCATAATTAGTAAATAGTAATAGCATTATTTTCATTACCTCATCTTTGTAGGTGAGGCTATGCCGGAATGCACCTGTGTTGTTGTGCATTGCACCAAGCCACAATGCTTCTTCATCTTTTAGTCCAACATAGATGCGGGCATCCCGTCCAAAATAATTTCTGTTTGTAGGGAAGTCCTGATGCAGTTTCTTTGTTGCTAAAGTAAGGTGTGTTCCACCAAGAACCTCATACTCATAGGTATCAATCTGGTCCAGTTTAAATTGGTCTTTTCTAGTGACACCCTTCAGTAAAACAAACAATGGCTCATAATTGCCAGCTGGTTGATCTTTAAGATTTTTTACAAGGGAGGCAAGAAATACTTCATCAACTTCCCTGATCTTTCTTTCTTTGGGAGGAATGAAGATTTTTTCAATCGAGATGAAGTGTGTTGTATCTAAAAACGAAAAAAAAAAGAGCTCAGATATAATCTAACCCATGAAAAGATAGAATAACTTAAGTAACATTGTCAAAAGAATAATAAACAGGCTTGAGTCTATAACAGTTTGCTTGAAATAGATTTAAAAACTTTATAGATAACTGAAAGATGTGGAAACAGCAGTGCTTGTCAGCAACTTGCGAGGAAGATAGATCTATAATTTTAAACTGCTCTTTTTGCTTACCATCTAGTCTGCATTCATTGCATCTATCTTCAATTTTTTTCACGTACTGGTTTGTATCAGAAGATTCATTCTTTTTCCTTTTTGCCTTATTTGAATACAGTGGAGACACGGAAGATCTTTTTCCTTGAGGTTCAATTCGTCTTTCAGGCTGGTTTACAACTTCTTGTTCCTCAAGTTTTGTTAATGCATTTTTAATGCATTTAACCAACTCCTTGGCATCTTTTGTGTCTATTTTTCTGAAGTCCCCATCAGATGCAAACTTGTTGTAATGGTCTGGGTTTGCAGTWATGAACTGAACATCCCTCTCTYTATCACAAACAAATTCAAGCTATTAAAGAAAAAGAGTCCWTTAGTACTGTAGTGATTAGCTAGTAAATTTAAAGCAAACTTTGAAATACAAAAYTGTAGGGGAAATTTTGATCTCTTTACCTCTACATAATTTCTATGTTGTGATCTTATAACAACATTCTTGGTATTAGCWGACACTATGTGGAGTACTCCATCGACTTTCTTCCCCCCTTTATAAAGAAAAGCTTTGTTTGTGTCAAGCTTAATGGACCAAAGTTTTTCAGGTCTACATATACCCGTCATAATTCAGGAGTTCAAGAATAAGCATTAGTCTTATCTAAATTTTTGGTGTTAGTTATGACGAAGATTCGTCGTAGTGTTTTACAGAATCTAAGCTTAATTCTGCTTGTTCTGTGATCAACTGGAAGTGATGCCTCAGGCTGTGACGAAACCTTTGATTTCGGCTAGTGCACAGATAAAATATACCGCTGCTTCAGTAATTGCTAATTAAAGTAACAAGGTTTACAACAAAGCAGCGGATATCCAAAACAAAAGGTGTAATCACAGCTATTGTAGGTGCTTTTAGCGGCTAGGTTATTATGCTTTGACAAAGAACTTTAAGAAACTATGCCCAACTATCGATCCGAAAGGCCATAGTTTACTTTAAAACACCGACTTAAGAGAAGACCGACTTCAAGCGGATAATAGAGTCATTAAAAATTAGAATTACTATGGGTATACATACCAATTTGTGTTCGTTCGGTGGAACGAATTCAAAATGGCGCTTCTTTTCAACTTTGTCGGTACTGGTCTGCCATCTCTGTGATTGGTCCAACAGAGCACGTGATAATTTTGACTTGTAAGAAGGCGCCTTTTGCTTTATTTACACTGTATTCGATCTCTGGTCTGCGACTAACTTGTTCGTTATATTACTCTCACATGGATTTTACAGAAACCTTCGATTCRGACGCTATAGCCTTCACAAGTACTCCCATCAAATCCGCTAAAGGCAAATCTATCAATTTAGACTCTCTAAGTTCCGATGAAAGTTGTCTCTCAACGCCTCCAAAGGTTCAACGAACGATCAATTTAAGTGACTTCGACGAAAGTGGTAGCAGCTATGATGTTGGCGCGAAATCTATATTTTTAGACGATAGCTCTTTCTCTGAAAACAACCAAGACTCGTCATTCGAATTATTACTTCAGGGCGATAACTCTGTCAGTATCGTGGAAACCACAACCACCGGGAATGGTAAGTTTTATATAACTTTCACGTGTTACGACCGACATTTTGAATTGGCGAGAAAAGATGCANTCAAAATAATCCAGACTTTATTTTCGCGCGCATTTTTCCGCTTTGAAATTAAAGGCACAATGGTACACCAGCATTCAATGCGGTCGTGTTTTAGATTTTTCATATATGGAAAATGAGCTGACTTCGAAAATCTATTTTCAAGATCCGTTTCCATCCATRGGTTTAAAAGTTGAATCTTACAGTATCTCCATTTATCTAGTACAGGGGATAATAAAGAGTAAGTTTTGCTTACATTACGATGTATTTTTACTTTCAAACATGAGCAAAAGCTGAAAAGGGATGCTGGTGGACCCATGTCCCTCTAATCAAGGCAACAAACATGCCCACTGTTACCATAGCAATGCCTGAGAGGATGTTGAGGCCACAACTTGAATTAATGGCCATGTAGTCATTCAATAAGTATAGCTGTGCATGTAGACTTAGATCTAAGGAATTATTTAGTTTATGATAGTCTAATGCATAAAGATGTTTGATTGGACATTTGACATGATATGTAATGTTTATATTTTTAGATGTAGCTGATAATGATTTTACTTTAGTACATGATGAAAGCTCTTTGGAACAACATGGTAGGCATGATTCAGAGATAAATTTCTGTTGTATAAAATCCCTGAATAGACTAGAAAGGATTTCAAATATTTCAGTGCACTGACTAAAATGGCACCTCTATTTATCAGTCACTTATTGTGGGTTCCTCTATTAGACAATAACAATAAATAGCCATAATTGGCATAAGCCACTACTTTGAAAATCATGGTCTGCACTAACTAGTCTCCTTGTCTGCACTGGAACCCTTCTGAAATACTGTATTTGACGAAACATCATCTTGAGAGGCAAGGAAAGTATAGGCAATAGCAAAGTTCTAAATTTTGTTGATTATTTCTTCTATTCCTCTAGGCTTATGTCAAGGAAATGACGATAATTTTGATCAAAGGCGATGTGTAACTTCTAGTGATGAAACTACATTAAAGGCCCCCAGGGGTTAGTATGATATGTATAATGTACCAACATCATGCTTTGTTATTTGCCTGTTTGAACATTTATTTATATTTTTATTTTCTTATCAGGTATGAGTGAAGTAAATGATAATGAAAGTACACACAATCTTGAAGAAGAAGTACTGGAAAAAACACAAGGCTAGTAAATTAACTGTGATTAGACCTACTTATGGCATTAGTTGTCCTTTCACACACATAAAAGCCTTTCCTCAACAATGTTCAATTATTTGAATATTTATTTTATATTGTGACTTTGTTTTAGACATAAATGAAATACGGAGTGAAAACTGTGTTCAACATACATCAAGTATTATTAGAGAAGAAAGTACATTGAAGAGACCTCGTGGTAAGTATAGTGCAACATGAAAATTGARCAACTTATTTCAATCCAAGCATCCTACATAAAATGCTTGTATCTGATTGGCTGATAGCCTGTGAACTTCCTCTTTATCAGTGGGATCAATGTGATATTGCTTAATTGACACTTGCAATTTCTGTAGATGTTATTAATAGTTCTTGAATGATTCATGAAATATATTGTTTGTATTTGATGAAAATGGCTTCACACTTAACCAATTGTGCTGTGCATATTTGGTATTATTAAGCATTTTCATTAAATGCGGATAGTATNACACATAAAAGCCTTTCCTCAACAATGTTCAATTATTTGAATATTTATTTTATATTGTGACTTTGTTTTAGACATAAATGAAATACGGAGTGAAAACTGTGTTCAACATACATCAAGTATTATTAGAGAAGAAAGTACATTGAAGAGACCTCGTGGTAAGTATAGTGCAACATGAAAATTGACCAACTTATTTCAATCCAAGCATCCTACATAAAATGCTTGTATCTGATTGGCTGATAGCCTGTGAACTTCCTCTTTATCAGTGGGATCAATGTGATATTGCTTAATTGACACTTGCAATTTCTGTAGATGTTATTAATAGTTCTTGAATGATTCATGAAATATATTGTTTGTATTTGATGAAAATGGCTTCACACTTAACCAATTGTGCTGTGCATATTTGGTATTRTTAAGCATTTTCATTAAATGCGGATAGTATTTTTTCATTAATTGTTGGGYCGAACAGAGGTGGAAATTCTGATAATGCCTAATAAAATCTGATTTATTGGCATAATATGGTGTTGGAAATTTACAAGTAATCTTGGATAAAACATTGCACTTCCAGATAACCCCAAGACAATATGTGTGGAGGATGTTAAAGGCAAAAATATTTTTCTGGATCTGTCAAATCCTAAGCAAATTCCAGTTGTCACAGACTGGTTACAAGATTTGGGATCAACTGTTTACACATTTTTAAGCAAAAATGTTGATGTGATCATTTCTGACAAGGAAGGGATAGATGTAGATGCGGAACAAATTATTAAAAAACAACAACATATGAGTTCGTGCAGAAGTGTCTCTATGCTTGGACTAGCACAAAAAAAACAGCATTTTGGATTGTCRTCAGTATATCGCATTGCTTCCAAATGGAACATGGACATTTTGAGATTTGCTGACATTCTCTATTTAATGAATGAATTCAAGCCACTAAAAAGGAAAAACACAAAAAGTGCAATCATTGTGAAAGCTCTTAAAAAACCTTTCATAAAAGTTGAAGACCGCTCTAGACTTTACAGACCCGAGTTTGTTGAATTTAATGTTTTTCCATATTTAGACTTTGAAACTATTGGTTCATCATCACCTTTTGATAAGTGGTTTAATGAGAATTATAATAAATTGTAACTCATGGTACATGCAAGTGTGTTTCATTTATTATATCTTTTTGAATATAATGAAAATAATGTGTTTTACAATTCCATTCACACATTGAAGTGAAATGTTTAATTTATTTACTTTTGATGCTAGATATCAGGTTCAGAACAGATGAAGAAATTYTGTGGCTCTTATCTGTCCCTTGCTGTAAAGAAAGATGTCTTCACCACTTTTCAATTTGTGACATCCAACAGTGTGAAGTCAATTTAAAAGATAGGAAACAAACTGACCAGAGAAACTATTTGCTGGATTTTCTTCACCAACATGGTAAACTAGATGACTCTGGAGAATATTATGAAGTTGAGTTTGTTTTCAAGGGAAAGCATGTCTGTCGTGAAGCATGGCTGCTAGCACACAACGTTTCGAAAAGTTCTTTCAGAAGAGTTATGGCTAAGTTTAAGGAAGGTGCAGTACAGGTGGAACATGGAAATAAAGGAAGAAGAACAGTTAGGGACAAAACAGGGCAATGTATTGCATGGCTTGAATATTTCTTCAAAACCATTGGTGACTTTCAACCCACCAGTAATGCAATACATTTACCATCTTGCTTCAGTAAGATTGACATCTATAGGAAAATGTTTGAAGAAAATACTGCTTTCAACCAGCCTACTTTGTCTCTGTCACACTTCTATAAAATATGGGAGAAGCACTTCAACCATGTGACCATTCCAAAGGTAATTATCATCAATGCAATTTTCAAAAAAGCTACAAGTTGTAATATATTGTATATTATTAGTTATATGTGGAATGTGTAATATCATTTAACACTTTTTAATAGGAAAATCGCTTCACTAAATGCACTGAATGCACCAGATTT